GGCTGAGTAAGTGTGGCATTTGTCATCGTGACATTAGACTGGGTTGAAGTTACAGCGGGACGTCCTACTCGCTTCAGGCCGTTTTTCACTGCAATCGTATCGTTTTGTGTCAAAGTGTTTAGTTCCACTCTATGATTAGACTTGCTCCAAGTCTCTCTTTCATTGTCATATAGTATCGATCCACTATAGTGTACATTACATGACGTAGCACGGAGAGGCAGAGCGAGAAAGAGAGACTTGTCAACTTCGGAAAATCTCGGTTCAAAACTGAACCGAAAATGCAAGATTTGCTTTAACTGTTTTCTGTCAGTGTTTATATGTATTGATCTAGCACAGTGTAAATAACATGAGTTCCATTATAGTAAATAATACAGAAAGAAATTGAAGGAAAACAATTAAAGCAAGTCTTGCATTTTCGGTTCAGTTTTGAACCGAGATTTTCCGAAGTTGACAAGTCTCTCTTTCTCGCTCTGCCTCTCCGTGCTACGTCATGTAATGTACACTATAGTGGATCGATACTATATGACAATGAAAGAGAGACTTGGAGCAAGTCTACTCTAGGCTCGGGGAACAAAGAAATATATGCTTTGATACGATATCTTCACACTCTCTATATTTGAAGTGCGGCATGTAAGTGAAATATAAAAGAGTTAATCTTGTAATAATACAGGATGGATTTGATGTTTTGTAGGCAGTTGATAATGTTGGCAGATGTCTACCAGGCGAGTGAAGTCAGTGATCATATCTGTCCGATAGCGTTAACGCTTGGCGCTGATCGCGTTGCTGAAGTGAGGCATATTTCTTATAAATTGGTGAGTATAGCCGGCTTTTACACTAATCAGATGGTACGTTGTTTCATAAATGTTGACAATTATAGGGTCAAGTCAGCCTAGACCTATGCCTTTTATACTCGGCTGGTAATTATCGCAATGGTCATTTGCCTCTTAAAGGCCTAGTAGATTTCACAAGTTCTCAAATTAGCCCCATAACTTTGTGATCCGAAATTGATCAGAAACCAACAATTAAAGCAATTTATACTGTCCAGTAGTTATTAAATTAACTATAAAAACATTTTATGACTAAACTAAGTTCTATTTTGTAGTAATATTTTGACTCATTTTGACCTAATTCGCAACATAATAATAGTGTTCCGTAGTACGCCAAAAAGTTGACTTGCGACGAACTTTTTATTTTGATTCGCGAATACACCCGGAAGTACGTGGATTTATAAACCTCTTTTCAATCTGCGCTTGCTCACCAGTATACATTTCGGTACGATACGGGCGAAGTGGAAAACCAGCTTAATACCTGTATAATCGATTCGTGTTTTATTATCGAAACGTAAACCTTAATGATTTTGCGTACATTTAGGTCGGTATATTATTACTGAAGTTAAATACTGACATTGATTTGGAGTTACGAAGGAAATTTACTGAAGACATTATGAAACATTTTGCATCAAGTCAACAGTGGTTTAGAAGATTATCGTAAGTTGTCGCTCTCTTTTCAGCCAGCACAATCTCTGGGATAAATAGATGCATAGCATAATTTGATGCATAACCCTAATCTTAATCTAACTCTAATCTTAATCTGACACTAATCTAAACTTGATGACTTTTTTTAAACAAATTATGTTATTCATCTACTGTATTTGTCCCGGAGACTGTGTTGTTTCAGCATATCTTTTCTCTGTCTTCAATTTGCCTGTCTGTCAGTTTAGTCCTGTTGTTTTTATTGGGTTGCCAGGCTTTTTGCTAAATCCTCTGTACAAATTTGACTTATGGTACATCTGAGGATACAGATAAGGGATTGAATTCAGGTCTTTAAGGTCTTTGAAAAGTCTTTGAATTGTGTGAAAAAGCGAAGAAAGTCTTTAAAAGTCTTTAAATTCTTTAGTTAGTATTCGATTATACGATTTCCTAGCTAATAAAATAGATTGATTGAAGCAAGATGTTCGCAAATATCGACGAAAAGGTGCATTTTAGGATGTGATTCGAAGGAACTAATTACCGGGTTTTATGGTGCTTACACTCGCAATTTTTCGACAGCTGATTCCTCTCAAAGGTCTTTGAAAATAGGCAGCAAAAATCTTTGAAAGTCTTTGAATATTTTTGGTCTTGGAGACTACGAACCCTGCAGTAGCCAAGTGCTTCAACACCGTGTCTACAAGATATGCCTAAATCATACACACATACATACATACACTTTATTTCAACACGGAAGAATCATCAGTACAAGAATAAAATACACAAATTTAAATATGTACAATGTTAGTCAAAGGATAAAAATAATAATTACTGTTTTACATGATTGCCGTGCAAGAGTCCATATACTCAGTATACTATAGGAAGTTATCAATTCAACTTTGAATGAATTGAGAGAAGGGGCTGTTCTGACAAGCTGTTCCACAGGGAAGCACCACTGTAGCTGAAAGAACGTTTTAAATAGTCTGTTCGGGGTTTTGGAACAGACAATTTATTTAGAGAATTTCTCAGATCATAATTGCTCACTTTGGGTGTAAATAACTGCTGCAAGTATTGAGGAGCACAATTATTATTAACTTTGTACATTAGGATAGCTTTTTGCTTCATGCGATTTTTTGCCAAAACACTCCATCCCAACTCAGAAAGTAGGGATGCTGTGTAATCCGGTGTACTTTATAACCACAAAATGTGACCATAAAGTAGGCCGAAAACAGGCGTACATTATAGCCACAAACCGCGGCCGCTGTCTTATTTTGAAAGGCCCGGTACTGATAGACCTATCCAGTAACTCTCTACTTTTTGTTAGGTTTTGTCAGTTATGTGAAATTTTATTAGAAGAGGATTTTATAACTGCTGAAAAGTTTGCCATTGACTTCCTGCCTCACTTGCTTACGTATCAAACTGATAGCATTGTGAATGTTAAACTGGCTTTGTCGAGGACGTTGACTCGTGCAGTCATGGTCACCGGTAGGTGTGCTTATTGAAACTTAACCCATTGAGCCCCACAAATCCTTAGTGTGTCCTCCAGATACTCCCTAACAATATCTGTTCGGGTACAACAACCACATACAGCGCAAAAATGAACCATTTTAATACAAAATTGTTATAAAGTTTTACAAAATTTGCTTTGTTTACAAAAGTTATATTATGCATAGATTGCTAATTTGTCCTCCAGATGCATCGTCACCGATGCTGTGACGTCATGTGCAATGGGTCTATTGGTTAAATTTAGATATACCATACAGTAGTTGGTCCATGTGCTTTGACGTATCTAACCATTCAACTCTTGCAATATGCAGCAGACTTGTTATAATTTCATGTGAGAAGAATGCTTCCAGTCTTCCCTTATCTAGTTTCTTCCTGTAGTAACACTGGATCATTAAAGAATGACTCTTGCTGGACATCTAGAGAGAACAGTTGACAACTGATAGAGCTGTCCGTAGTTTATTGCGTGTAATTTCTCCCTGTAGATTATTTCTGTCGGCCTGAATGCAAGGACAGTGAAAAAGTTTTGGAAGCGATTGAAAGTCTTCAGTCGGACAACGACCGCGACGTACGATTCTTTGCGGGCTGTGACGAAGAGGTTCCGTACGAAGGCCGAGGGTATCCCGATCATCCAACGTACACAGGACACAACAGGACTCCGGAATCCGAACACGAGATGATCGGCGTTTCCCCTCTGGACGGTGAGTTTGCAGAAGAGCAAATTGAAGCGAAGTTGATGGCCGTGGAAACCACAGACCGGGGGCAGGAACCTGTCACAGGTATACCACTGGAGGTCGGGAGTGACGAGGGCTTCGAGGAAGCGGATCAGTGTCTTGGTGACGACGAAAGTGGGGAGCACTGCGAGGGGGCTGTTGATGAAAGTGGATTGCATCATGAGGAGCCTGGTGACGAAAGTGGAGTAGACAATAAGAGAACTGGGGACGAAAGCGGAGTGCACGATAATGGGGATGAAAGTCGCGCGGTTGAAGAGACTGAACACGATGAAACAGAGGTGACCCAATCAGAAGAACAAAATAAAGATGATGAGGTGGACACTTCGACAGAGCCAGAGGAAACACCAGTCGTGAATGAAGGGTGATTGGCTTGCCTTGAAAATTGTAAGTAGAATAGGCACTTCCTGAATTGCTTGTGTGCACACAACACTTTAGCGTTAATCTCCTGTGGCTGACAATGCTATTGGGGCTAATACATGGACGATCTTTTGTGTTAGTAATAAACAAGTCAGACATAAACAAGTCAGTCATAAGTTAGAGTTATAAACCGAGTAGGAGGTTTATAACTGATATATTGACCCCGAGGACGCGTAGCGTCCGAGGGCAATATATCAGTTATAAACCGACTTTCGAGGTTTATAACTAACTTATTTCTCATTTGCGGAGGTTTTCCAACATATTTTGTCATTTTCAAAAATTTTTAATGAAAAATTCTCGCGTTTTGTCTACAAGTTTCATCTAATCATTTATTCAAGGTATATAAGCTAGTTATAAACCTCGGACGAACAAAAAAACCCGACGCAAATGAGATATAAACAGGAAAATAGACATGTATTAATAACGCGCTTTGATTCACATGGTCGGCTATAAAGACAATGACAATGTTTTTAAATATCGTTCTCTGCTATATTAAAAGACAATGTCAATGTTGAATAACGTAGTGGGCTACTGGGCTTATATTCGGGGACTTATATTTGGGGGGCTTATATTTGGGTGGCCTTATATTCAGGGTGGCTTATATTTGGAATGAGGTGAGCGTTAGTATATGTAGTGGGCTTACAGTATATTCGGGGGGCTTATGTTCGGGGGCTTATAGTCGGAGGTTTACGGTATTTAATGAAGTCGAGATAAAGGATTTGTGCACGCAACATCAAAGAAAGGTCTATTTTGTTGCTTTGAAGTTTGCCAAGATTCCAGACCATATCTTAATAGACTATGTGCGGACCCTTTATCTTTAATGCGCTATTGGTATTTCTATTGTCTTATCCTATTGTAAATTTCCGATTTTTTTGTTACAGCCAAAAAGAAATTGCAACTGTTCCTCCTCGACTGTAGTCTTCGCGAAGCATGTTGGGTAAAGGATACGGTTTGTATTAAATTAACCTTCGTACAAAATCATGTCAATTGGACGTCCATTTGTGAATATAGATCAAATCTCAGCATTCAGGTAAATCTGTGTGGGGAATGAAAATGGGAATATTTTCTGGCAGCGTTGACGACCGTGATGCCAGACTACTGCTATCTCAACTCAAACCCATGTACATTTATCGACGTGAATTTTATGTTGAACTTTCATTTAATCGTTACAAGCGCAGCTATAGTGTTCATGGCAAACCGGTTCCCGGCACTATTTATATGTAGGTATGCGATAAACGTAGATTAATAGTACAAGAAGCTGGATTTCTTATAATACTTTTTGAGCATGTTTAAAACTACAACCCATTGACGCGAATTTTATGTTAAACTTTGCATTTTCAACGTAAATATTCAAGACATGCCCACATTGTACAGAAATCGCACGAACGTGGAGTGATGAATTGAAGAGAAAATTGAACAAAAAATCTTTTATCCTGTGGGGAAATTATTAATTTATTTCACAATTGTGTTGATATAAATAAGTAATTGTAAAATTTAGCAAGAAAATTTAAATAAAATTCTATTTCATTTAGTATAACTTACAAACGTTTGTTGTACAATTTGTAGTTGACTCGTTGTTGTTTAACCCCGAGTTTGTTCCCTCAATTATTTCTTACAAATCCTCCAAACTCAGAATTAACCTATGCAAAAAAATCCTACTGTCATCACTGATAGAGTAAACCAACCAATTAGCAAAAACCACTTATTATCAGGGTTCGTAGCGGTCTTTGAAAGACTTTAAATTTGAATGACTTTAAATTTGAATGCAGGTCTTTTTAAGGTCGTTGACTTTGAAAAGTCTTTGAAGTGTGTGAAAAAGCGAAGAAAGTCTTTAAAAGTCTTTAAATTCTCTAGTGATTATTTGATTATACGATTTTCTAACTAATAAAATAGATTGATTGAAGCAAAATTTGACGAAAAAGTGCATTTTAGGATGTGATTTGACGGGACTAATTACCTGGTAAAAATGGTGCTTATACATCGCAATTTTTCGACACCTGATTGCTCGCAAAGGTCTTTGAAAAGTCTTTGACATTAGGCAGAAAAAATCTTTGAAAGTCTTTGAAATTTTTTGATCTTGGAGACTACGAACCCTGCATTATGGCACTATGCATCAAAGGAACCCAGACAGTATTAAACTATTGATGCTATCTTTACATTCTCCATTCTAACTAATAGCATATTACTTGTCTAGAAATAATTTCTAATTATATGATTAATTTAATCGTAGCCTATCGAAGGGAAGATGGCTGTGAAACTCATTAGAATAACAATATAACTCGTTATCTATGTTGGTCAACGTTTATTCATAAATCTGGTCCTTCACCGTCACGTGTGTATTGTATTCTTGCCCAACTAACCAATAGCAATGTTTTAGCAAAGTCGCCTATCCGTGACTCGAACAATAGGGAAACGGGAAATTGGTAGATTTGGTAAAAATACAATCACACGTGACGGTGAAACGACCAGGTTTATGAATAAACGTTGACTAACACAACTAACACAGATAATGAGTTATATTGTTATTCTAATGAGTTTCACAGCCATCTTCCCTTCGATAGGCTATGATTTAATCAAACATCATTATAGCCCGGCACCATGAAAACCATCATCGGGTTTGCTATCAGGTTTAGTTCGGTTTTCATGAGCAGTATTACAATATTTTGCGGCAACGTCGATTCCTTCCTCATACTCCTGAAGTAGTTTTGGGTCAGTTTCTGCCATGTTTTTTATCAAGTAATTTTCATCGTCAAATGAAGCCTTGTCAAAATCATGTTTTAATTTCCGTTTCAACTGAAAATGAAAAGAATCGTTTGAAATGAGATCTAAATTGGAGTGAGTAGATCAGGGACGCCGGAACGATGTGAAGGCAAGGGGGCAGATTTTCGTGAAAGGGCACTTTTGAATTGATATATACTAAGAGATGTTTGCAAAACATCGGGAGTTGAACTTCACCTAATCATGTTTTCTATTTATTGGATGATAGGGGTGTGAGGGGGTTCCTCCGCCAGGCGATTGTGCTATTCTTGAAGCTTGATGACTGCATTTCTTGCGTTTTCTGAAGCAAATTCGTAAAAGAATTGCACTAACATTTCTGACAATTCGCTATTTCGCCAAGGCAATCCTTTAAATTGAAAGGGCACCTTTGCCCCCCTTGCCCCTCCTGGTAAAGGGCAACAGGCGGCTGCCCCTCAGTTCCGGCATCCCTGGAGTAGATACTAGATAACTCTATCAGTTCTAAACTGTTTCCCTTGTTAGTCCCAAAGAAAAAACTGCAAAGACTGGTTTAGTCAAACTGTGGGACGGCACACTCTTCCAACTGCATATATGGCGATACATCATACCCTACTGAGAAATTGATAAACGTCCATGTGGATGTCCCTACCGCTTTTAATTCTTCTGACTTTCCAAATTCATTAAGCTGTCTTTTAAATCCCGGGTTAGGATCTGCAATTGACCTTGAGCATTTGATTGATTTAAATATTTCCGTCCATTCCATATCTGTGACGGCCATTATGTACGCTATGGTTAAGGTGGTTGAACGTGAGATACCAGCTAAACTGATGGCGACAAAAAGTCAAATGGTTGTTAGATTTTCATGTTTACCATGGTCAGGCATATGGGACCGATACCAAATTTGGGCAGATTAATCAGAAAATATATTTTAAAATTTAAGCATCGGCCATATGGCCTATGTCAGTCGGTTGGTCAGCCATATTTGGAAGCTAGTCTGTCAACCGGTTGGTCTGTCAGGTACTTGGTCCGTTAATTGAATGTATTAAACTCACCAATGGACAAGTACATTCCCTTCTTCACATCTACAAAATTGCGGCAACAAAATCATTTACTTTTATTGGATGATTACTTTTATTGGACAACATGCATATCTATGCCAAATTAGACATCAACACCCATGGAAAATGAATGTGTTGTTTAAGCTAGAAAACAGACCAACTTAGGAAAGATTGTATATGTACAATATTCAATAACCACCTTGCTTTATGAATGAACAATGCACTTTCTTCAAAATATGGTGTCCTAAAAAATCATAAAAGATCACCATTTGCTTGCTTTAATGAAATAAAATTACTGTAAATTTGTCTTTAAATTGTTAAATATTATTACAAATCTTGGCCAGGGTAGTCAGCCACGTTGATGCAGTGATATTTGTAACCCTAAAAATGAAAAAAAATGTTGATATTTGAAAGTAAATTATTTTTTAAATTTATGTCATAATTCACTTGGATGTACCTCTAATAAAGATTTAGCATTATCGTGTGCAGACACAATATGTGTGATTTTGTTATCTTCTAACTGTTTCTTGTCTTTGGAATCTAACAAAATATAGTGTGAAAATAATTCGACTGCCCAACCAACTGTCGATTAGACTAAGTGATCCACAACCGACTGACTGACTATAACCCACTGGACCAACCGATTAACTGACTCAAGCCACAGAATACTACACAGAAGGCCATCTCCAGACAAATCATAACAAATAGCGCTTACACAAAAAACGATAACAATGACCTTATGTGTACTATTCTGTGTTCAGGGAGTCGATCAGTTTAATTAATAGTGGGCAGACACTGAGTGAAATGATCAACTGCCTGGCTGGTTATTAACAACTGGCTAACCGACTGACAGGCCAGCCGACTATTAAATCAACATAGCAACTGACGGACTGCCTGGCTGGCCAACTCAATGACTAACACGTTATGCACTAGTTGACATCAATAATAATGGTGATTATTAAACTGACAGTCTTCAGGACATATGTACCAATAAAATTATTATAAAAGAAATAATACCTCTAAAATTCCCTATATATAATCCAGGGAGGACCTGAAATTAAATAAAAATTTAAAGTAAAACTTGATTTAAACACTGGCAGTAATATTTTCATTCATTTACCTTATTCATTCCATTCCCCATTGTTCTAATTTTTTAATAATAATAAAAATAACAAATGGTTGTGTGATACTTGATGTAAGCTAAGATATTGTACCCATTGTAAAAATTCGGATAAAATAGGAATTTGGAATTTAAGAATAAAAGAATGCGAGTAAAGTAATATAGTATATAATAGCTTAAAATGTTACACTTTTTTTGTTACAGAATAATATTTAATGATATATATCAAAATATATTTTGTATTTTTTGGGTGTCGACATTTAACCGCACTTTTTATTGTCACAGATTCACACAAGTTTGTTCGGTTAAAAGTAACTGAAAAAACAACTAAATGTTCGTTTTTAACGCTATAAATGTTTCATGTATTAAAGATTAATATTACTGTTATAATATATTACAAGGTAAATATTTTTTGTACTATACTATCTAAAATTATTATTGCAAACGCATCCTATATTTTCCAAATTGCAATGAATTTGTCCGACATTTTTATCTGGAAAAATACCGCGAGCGATGTGTTGTTTTTGGCTGATATGGTAACAAGCTATACACAAAATTTAATTTTCGTGAAAATTTTGATATTTTTATGTAGTTTTATTAAATTTAAAGTATTTTAACTTAGACAAGAGAATGCTGTCGTCTGTGCATCTTGTCGGAGAGGATGAGGACGATATATATGGCGGTTTTAATGAGTATAATCCTGCGTTTGATGTAGAGGTATGATAAAAATATATGAACATTTTGTTAATATAAAGTTGTGACTAGAGTACTAGACTAAAAATATTTGAATTGGAAAGTTATGTATGCTGTTATGCACAATCACAAAATTTCATATTGTGTTCTTGCCGTTTTTACATAGTAGAGACTAGAAAGAAATTCTAGTAGATTTCATATTTTCATGTAGGTCAGCCCAGGGTGCATTCCATGTAAACTCTACGCCGAAGATACGCCAATATTAACTACAGATAGTATTGTAATTTGCCAAACTAACACAGGTCTTAGGCGTATTGCACTTAATTAAACTACACCCTGGAAATCAGCACTTGTTTCCATCCACCAAACTGACATGTTATTTTTGGAAGATTAAATGGCCATGTAACAAACCCTACCCCTACCCTAGCCATTAGAAATTGATCAAATGACGTAACGTCAGTTTGATGGTTCAGGAAACGAGTGAAAACCTTTAATGTACTATCACAGTATTGCATGAAATAAAGGTGTATTATTCAATGTAATGTGCATATCTGGGTGTAATTTTATTGTCTGTTTCATCAATGACTAGGGGACTAGCCCTCCCAATATCAGAATCTCTAGAATGCTCGTGCATTTCCATGATTTATGAAACTTACATTATTTGTTGCATCTAAAATATGGGCAATATAATGTTTTAGAACCTCGAAGAAGATGAAGGATTTCAACAAGCAGTTAAAACCAGTCATGGTCAAAGACCTGGTGTTGTAAGTCTATAATTTTAGAAGAATGGATTATGACCATCTGATTGACCTACTAAGATTATTGTATTTTATTTTTTTTGTAGAAAACAGGTGCAGCTGGCATGCGAATTGGAACAGCATCAGGAGTGAGTATTCCTCTATTGTGGCGCAGAATACTGCACAGAAGTCCATCTCCATTGCTTTAAGCGTAAGCTCTATTCGTCATGATTCGTCACTCAGCAAGTACCATAAACAGAAGCAGTCACCCCCCTGGAAATACTAAAAACAGCACACGTCCAGGGGGTGACTGCTTCTGTTTATGTTACTTGCTGAGTGACGAACCATGACGAATAGAGCTTACACAAAAAGCAATGGAGATGGACTTCTGTGCAGTATTCTGTGATCATGGTCTGTGTAGGTAGTGCCAACAATAAGGAAGCTTCAGATTGATAAGGATGTAACTAGCTGAAAAATACATGGAGAACGTCGACATTTTGAGCGAAGGCCCCTTGTCGGGTACCCTGGTTCCGCTAGCTCTTTGTGAGGTGAAAGAAACGAGTGGTGAGAACGGAGAGCCTCTGGTCACATTGATTGCAAATCCCACTTCCACACTTGATTAGGTTCAGAATTTGAATCTTGCATGTGATTGACCATTTGTAAAAATATGTCAAACCGGTTTGGGAAATAAACATTACTTTAAGCTAATTGGCAATTCCAGCTTTTAATTATGCACGTAGGGGATGATGGGAAGTAAGGTCATACCTTAATAATCAGCAGTATCATATTGCTGATTATGCTGAAACATTTCAATAAAAACTGCTGAAACAACCGAAATATTTCAATATTTACAAGTATAAGCTATCACTCCGTGTTTACACGGCTGCCATTTTTATTTTTTTAGCATAATCAGCAATATGATCAAGGAATTGCCTATTATAGCCTGACATATTTTTACAGATGGTCACATGCGAGATTCAAATTCTGAATCTAATCAAGTGTTGAAGTGGGATTTGCAATCAATGTGACCAGAGGCTCTCCGTTCTTGTTTCTTTCGCCTCGCTAAGAGCCTCTGGAACCACGGTATTCGCCGGGAAGTCTGTAGTGACGAAGGGCCTTCACTTGAAACATCAAAGTTCTCTATGTAATTTTTCAGGTATAGTTGCATACGAAGATTTCTTATTCTTCTATCACTCTACAATCTTGTCTAAATGACCTCAACTATAATCTGGTGTTATAACAAAATCTAAAACCTTGCTTACCTTTACTATTTCAGAATCGTGGCTTTCCTGGTTCATCAATGGGAAGACCTACTACTGGTTTTGCCCTGGTACAGTAATTTAATGCCGTTCTCATGTTAAATATAATCATCATGATAGCTCATGAATCTCAGTTACTATTCTATTCAATATTTCAAATATATATATATATATATATATATATATATATATATATATATATATATATATATATATATATATTATATATATATATATATATATATATATATATATATATATATATATATATGTAGCGGTTTATGAGTTGTTTTCAGACGAGTGTATACCAAACCGGGCAAGCAGAAAATTCTACTTGACGCGGCTGGGATTCGAACCCGCGACCTTCGCATTTCTAGAACGATGCTCTACCTTCTGAGCTACAAGGTCAAGCTGAGAACGACGTGTTAAGTTATGATGTTATTCGCATTTCGGAGGTTAGTCCTTCAATGCATAAAGCCAGCTATTAGTCTGGCAATGTTGTATGTGAATGTTGTGGTTTCCCACGTTGACGATTCCACTCGTGTTACGTTATGTAGCGGTTTATGAGTTGTTTTCAGACGAGTGTATACCAAACCGGGCAAGCAGAAAATTCTACTTGACGCGGCTGGGATTCGAACCCACGACCTTCGCATTTCTAGAACGATGCTCTACCTTCTGAGCTACAAGGTCAAGCTGAGAACGACGTGTTAAGTTATGATGTTATTCGCATTTCGGAGGTTAGTCCTTCAATGGAATCGTAAACGTGGGAAACCACAACATATATATATATATATATGAATGTTGTGGTTTCCCACGTTTACGATTCCACTCGTGTAATGTTATGTAGCGGTTTTTGAGTTGTTTTCAGACGAGTGTATACCAAACCGGGCAAGCAGAAAATTCCACTTGACCGCGGTCAAGTGGAATTTTCTGCTTGCCCGGTTTGGTATACACTCGTCTGAAAACAACACAAAAACCGCTACATATATATATATATATATATATATTATATATATATATATATATATATATATATTTTGTGGTCGTTTGAGCACTCTGGCCCCATTACGCTCTGCGCATGTCTGGATGCGTTGAGTCACCGTGTTGTACCACATGCCTTAGTGAGAGCAAGTTCATGGGGTATAAATACGAGTGCCTCACGTATCTAGACGTGTACCAAGCTGCACTGACGAGGCGTTGAACGCCGAAACATGCATGTCTGCAGATTGTATATATATATATATATATATATATATCTTCAGCTGTCTACATTTTCTCTTGTTTTAAGGATGCAAACCAAGCGAGGCCCATGACAGCTGTTCGTGGTGCTGGTTACTCCTCAGCTGGTAACAGAGGTTTGTTAATATGTAGGGTTTAATATTTTTGCAAAAATCTGATTAGGCTTTGCAAGTGCGCACCTATTTTTATAATTTCAGTCACTTGAATGCTCAATTGATGTCAAATACATGTTAAAGTTTGTAACTTGGGACTTGGGAGTTTACTTGGGGAAATTAGTTTTAACTCCAATCACAAAATTTCTTCATTAGCACCAGCAGGGGCTGCATTTGATCCATTCAATCAAGGCAACAAAGGACCAGCACCTCCTCTTGAGAAGAAAGCGGAAGATAGGTAATAACACTGCACACTATGATTGTCTTTTTCATATCCCAGAACTCCGTTTTCAAATGCCAGAACTCCGTTTTCAAATGCCAGAACTCCGTTTTCAAATGCCAGAACTCCGTTTTCAAATGCCAGAACTCCGTTTTCAAATGCCAAAACTCAGTGTTCAAATGCCAAAACGTCATTTTCAAATGCCAAAACGTCATTTTCAAATGCCAAAACGTCATTTTCAAATGCCAAAACGTCATTTTCAAATGCCAAAACGTCATTTTCAAATGCCAGAACTCCGTTTTCAAAAGCCAGAACTCAGTTTTTCAATACCAAAACTCAGTTTTCAATTGCCAAAACTCCGTTTTCAAAAGCCAAAACTCCGTTTTCAAATGCCAGAACTTCGTTTTCAAATGCCAAAACCCCGTTTTCAAATGCCAAAACTCAGTTTTCAAAAGCCAGAACTCCGTTTTCAAAAGCCAGAACTCCGTTTTCAAAAGCCAGAACTCCGTTTTCAAATACCAGAACTCCGTTTTCAAAAGCCAGAACTTCGTTTTCAAAAGCCAGAACTTCGTTTTCAAAAGCCAGAACTCCGTTTGCAAATGCCAAACTCAAAATTGTACATTTCAACAAAATAAGAAATGAATGAAATTTCACAGTCGTCATTCATCTCATTAACATTTCTGACAGTCCTGAAGAAAAGATCAAACAAATGGAAAAGAAGGTCAATGAATTGATTGAAGAAAGTTGTATTGCATGTGGCAGAGGAGAGATGGAACTGGTGAGACTCAGCTATGTTATTCTCTACTCCCTATCTGGCACAATTTCGTTTGTTGCTATAAAATTTCATTGTAATTCTGTTCAGGCATTGGAGAAAGCAAAAGAAGCCGGACGGAAGGAAAGAGCACTATGTCGTCAACGTGAACAAACTGCCGTGACTGAGCAGATTAATTTAGATCTTACATATTCAGTAAGTAAAAAGTTATTACAATCTTTGAAAAGCTGGTTTATACTCCGGGGTGGAAAAAATAGGCGAGCACGCGAGCACTGCTCGCAGGAAATGTTAAACAGCTGCAGGAAATTCGTTTGAATGAGGATTTGCTTTTTAAAATTTGAAGGAAACCTCGACACCGATGTCCCATTATGGGTGCAACAACATATAGTTGACAGACATTATTCCTTGAATTTAAAACCATGGTCAGCTAGAACACTATATGTTTATGCACATGCAGATTTAGCACAAAAATACTCTGTTGGTCTGCAGGAAATTTTTGTCTCCAGGTTGTTCTCCCAGGAAGAAAATTCTTCTTTCCTGCCCTGTTTACACTATCAAAGTTTCTGTGATCACAGTAGGAATTTTGCATACTGGGTAAATTCTAAGTTTTGAAGAATTTGTTAGATATCTTTGAGGGAAATAATGACTCACTGAGTCAGTTCTCTCAAGATTTCTTACAAATTCTTCAAATGCAAAATTACTGTGATCACAGAAAACTTTGATAGTGTGTAAACCAGCCTTACAGTAAGAGACGATGATCGCTATGTTTATAGTGCCCTTTACTAGGTTCATTATTGTGGTAGCATATTAATCATCATGGTTGTATTTCTCAGGTGTTATTCAACCTTGCTGACATGTATCACAAAAGTCAGATGTATTCAGAAGCTCTCAACACCTATCAAGTTATTGTCAAGAACAAAATGTTTAGCAATGCAGGTATTTTTGAAATCTAATTAATTAACCTATTTTGTATTCGTTTTTAGGTTTGTTTGAAAACTTAATGGGTTGTTCCGTAATTTTAAAAATTCCGCGCCCACATATACGAATGTGGTAAAATGGTGCAAAAAGGCTACCGCCATTGATTTCATCTCTGTCTTATGTAATTCACTCTAGGTCGTCTTCGTGTGAACATGGGTAATATTTACTTCGAGCAAGGCAAGCTGCCTCAAGCAATCAAACATTATAGAATGGCGTTAGATCAAGTACCAATAACACACAAAGAAATGAGGTGGGAATTCCGTTCTATCATATTCCAAACACAATTTTTTGTACTAGTACAATAGTGTTAATTTAACTCTTCTTCATTGCGATCTAATTAGAATTAAGATCATGCAGAATATTGGAATAGCCTTCGTGGAACTAAATCAGTATGCTGATGCAGTAACGTCATTTGAACAAGTTATGAGTGATAGCCCATCTTTAGGTGCAGGTAGGCATTGGTATATAATTGTCCGTTTGAAATAGTCATACCGTTCGTATGTGGTCGTCCCCGATGGAGTAAAATGATAAAAGAAAGCAGTGAATTTTCATTTCATTGAAGGAACTCTACACACGCAAAAATCTCACATCTTGTAACAAGTCTGCCAACAAGCCGTCAACAAGTTGTGTTCGCACTGCTTGTCCCAAGTTGTCAACAAGTTTGGAACAAGCTGTTAGCAACTTGTAACAACCTTGTTGATATTATCAGACTTGTTGCAAAGTTGTTCCAACAAGTCCAATACAGTCATGATATAACAATATTGTTACAACCTTGTGTCGTCAACCTTGTAACATTCTTGTTATATCATGACTGTATCAACCTTGTTAGAACAACCTTGTGACAAGTCTGATAGTGCCATCAAGCTTGTTACAAGTTGTTAACAGCTTGTTCCAAACTTGTTCCAACAACTGGGAGCAAGCAGTGCGAAGACAACTTGTTAACAGCTTGTGAACAGATTTGTAACAACTTGTTTGCAGACCTGTAACTAGCCTGCGTGCAGGCCCAAGGGAACTGATAGTGGGCCTGCAACCATCGCCCGGTATTTTGTAATACGCCCCTTTTCATAACACGCCCCATTCGCGCGTCAATTGTCAAAAAAGAACCAATGACAGCACCCAAATATTAACAAACAAACTCGCATTAAAATGTTGCGGGGTTTTCTCTGCTTATTCAGAACACTAATAAACAATGTGTAAATGGCTGCGTTTTAACTCCAAAAAAGCAAGCAACGCAGTCAGTAATTGCCAAATTTGCAAGTGCTCATTTTCAACTAAAATCGGAACAGGCAAATTAGGACGAATTTCAACAGAAAACCAGTCTCAAACTTCAAATCATGAGGGAAGTCGTGCGACCACATTAGGATTTATATTATGTGTGCTTCGCTGTCGCCATTGGCATTGTTATAAATAAATTGTCTCACTTATCAGATCGTGTGTGCAATTCTTGTTGGCGGCGGAAAGTACGAAATTTATGTTATTTCATTTGGTAAAGAACTCTACAAAAGAAGAGAGCGTTCCGAGTCCAGATCGTTTCGTTTCGAACGGCAATTTAATACCGCCTTCTGTTTCGCTCTCTCAGCGAAGCCTTGTAAATCGCAAAGTGTTTCGAATAGGCTTACAGTCCTTACATGCAACTGCATCTCAACATCAACCAAAAGATAATTTTCTTGAGGAAGTGAGAACACATAACGTATCAACTGAAGTCTGTTTGAAATTAATGAAACTCAAGTAAAGGTTACTATAGTTTACCCCAGTCGTAATTTGCTATTCCAACACCTCACGACAAGCAATCCCGATTGGCATAACGGCAAAAACATGTCTTCCTTCAAGTAAACAATAAACAGTTCTTGTTCCATTTGTAATCGAAAAGTAATCAATTTTCAAATTTTAAGCTTATCGAGAGCCTTTGTCTATGCCTTTGTGATGAATCACTGTTCCCTTGGGCCTGTACGCTAGGTTAATTAATTACCGATCGCCTCAGCTAGCCAATGGGAATTTAGCCGGCGGTTCGGCCGGCGAAAATCGAAAACATGGGGTGATGGTTGCAGGCCCACTATCAGTTCCCTTGGGCCTGCACGCAGGCTAACCTGTAACAACTTGTGCGTTTTTACGTGTGTAATATGAGCTACATAGCCAGCACATGTGACGTGGTGTCGTAGTTACCACGTCTGCCTTTCAAGGCTGGGGGAGCCGGGTTCAATCCTTGGTCGGACCTCCACTCAAGGTCTTAAAATAATTATTGAGGAGAAAGAGCTACCTTTACACTGACTTCAGTAAATGATTAAACTTTCGCGTCTTCTCGGATAAGGACGTTAAATCGTAGATACCTCGGCTCCCCATCAATGGAGCAATGGCCTGTTGGAGTGTTGGGAAATCCGCTTAAAACAAACTGTAATTCGTTGTTTTATTTATTTGTGATTCCGTTGTAGCACTGAATTTGATCTTGTGTTATTACGCTCTGGGAGATCGAGAAAAGATGAAGAAAACTTTTCAAAAAATGTTGCAGATTGAACTAAATGTTGATGATGATGAGAAATACACAACGAATGGGGTATGACATGACGATTGAGTAGTGAATGGCTTTTGACCATTAACGCAAAAATTTCTATAGCGTGAATTTACATGTGAATGTGATCAAATGCGCTTTACATCAAGTATTACACTTACCTAATTACACACGCGTAAAAACGCTGAGCCCGCTGTTTAACAGGATTGAACAATGTTTTGTTGCAGGGATGGATTCACTGGCGGGGCACCCCCCTAGCCCTGGCCAGAGGGGGTGCAGGGGGTGCTATTTTTTATTATAAAGCAAAAAATTATTAGAGGCAAAATGAGATACAGTAATTTAAGTAATAACATGATGATAAGCGAACTGTGAACAACAATTCAAATTCAAATACAGTAGTCAAGCAAGACTTTGCAGTAGTCAAGCAAGTTGATGGGCGGGCGGCACACATGACCGACACAATTCGGCACCAGAGCTGGCAGAGCACCCCCCCCCCCCTACCAGATCATGCTGGATCCATCCCTGTTTTGTTGCCCATGTTGTTCACCATGTTGTTCAACAATGTTGTTCAATATTGTTGACCCTGAATCGGGTGTAACAATATTGTTCAACATTGTTGACAACTGTGAACAATGTGGGCAGCAAAACATTGTTCAATCCTGTTCTCATCAACTATTGAACAACCTGATCGTTTTTAACCGTGTACTTAGCCTGCATGGATTATTTTATCTTTACAAAAATTGTGATATCACTTTCCTACCCATATGTTTATCCTGACACACCCTATCAACTTTCCCTGTGGGAGGAAACCGGAGAAAACCCACGACGGCAGAGCGTTGACTGACTCTTTCACATGAGTCCGTAGCGAGAATCGAACCCACGATCTCAGAGGTGAAAGGCGCTGCTTGCCCCGACGACTACCACACCGAAGACCCGTCCTTCCCCCCCCACCCAAAAAAAAAAGGGGGCGAGAGCGCAAAGTTTAAAAAACAATCTGTTTTAACGCCTTAGGACGATCCACAACATGCATTTGTTTTGGAAATCATCAGGAATGACAAGTTACGACAACTCGAGAGAGAAAGGTATCAAGCGTAATAATTAAGATTTAGAATTTTTTACCGTTGTTTGCACTTAGGGATGAACAGACTGTCGCAGAAACACTGTTCATTTTTACATGAGATTTCCACGTTTTGTCAAGAAGTTTTAATCCGATCAGTAAATTACTGTACGTTTAACTAAATCTTTCTATCCCTTAGAAAATCAAAAGCTGAGAAATTCATAACGTGCTGTGCCAAGTTGATTGCTCCAGCTATTGAGACTTCGTTTGCTGCTGGCTTTGATTGGTAGGTTCTATACAATCATAGACATGCGTCTATATTATGTATTTTTGTTTTCCTGCATAAAATCTAATGCTGTTACTGTATCCAGGTGTATTGAATGTGTGAAGGCATCGCCTTATCTGAAGCCAGAATTCCATTTTCAAATGCCAAAACTCCATTTTCAAATGCCAGAACTCCGTTTTCAAATGCCAAAACTCCGTTTTCAAATGCCAAAACTCCATTTTCAAATGCCAGAACTCCGTTTTCAAATGCCAAAACTCCGTTTTCAAATGCCAAAACTCCATTTTCAAATGCCAGAACTCCGTTTTCAAATGCCAAAACTCCGTTTTCAAAAGCCAGAACTCCATTTTCAAATGCCAGAACTCCGTTTTCAAATGCCAGAACTCCGTTTTCAAAAGCCAGAACTCCATTTTCAAATGCCAGAACTCCGTTTTCAAATGCCAGAACTCCGTTTTCAAATGCCAGAACTCCGTTTTCAAATGCCAGAACTCCGTTTTCAAATGCCAGAACTCCGTTTTCAAATGCCACAACTCCATTTTCAAATGCCACAACTCCGTTTTCAATGGCTCCAGCCATTGAGACTTCGTTTGCTGCTGGCTTTGATTGGTAGGTTCTATACAATCATATAGACATGCGTCTATATTATGTATTTTTGTTTTCCTGCATAAAATCTAATGCTGTTACTATATCCAGGTGTATTGAATGTGTGAAGGCATCGCCGTATCTGGAACTCGCTAATGAATTGGAGATCACTAAAGCTATCACTTATCTGAAAGAAAAAGATTTTAATAAGGTATACATTGGATACTGGAGTTGATTTGATGGTCTACGTTACTGTACAGCAGCTTTGCATAAGGCAAAAAAAAATATGTGGGTTTCCGGTTTCTTCTTATAAAAACTTAGGTAGGGTAGGCAGGGTGTTAGCCAGGATTTCAAAAGTCGCCGTCCAAAATAATTTTGTGGGCGTGGTCACATGTTTTTGGGCGTGGCCGCAATTTTTTGTTGTTGTGGAATTGTGGTGTTCTATTCATTGAACCTTTTTAGTTTTAGATGCACATTTCATTTATTAAATTAGTAAAAGCACACATATGGTATGAACCGTATGATCACTACGATGTAGGCTACAGTTATATGCTATAATGAAGAACACAATACAGCAGTGTAGTGTTTAGTTATTTTTTTATCAATCGCCGATATTTTTTCCCTTTTTTATGCGTTTGGCTCATTTTATAGCCATCTTTACCGTAACTGTAACTATAAAGCAGTGTGGTGCTCGAACGATAAAGCGATTGCTGTTTTTTAAAACGGCGGTTTCAAATTATTCTCCGTGATACTTCATGCGAGAATAATCAACATGGTTATACAAAAACATGGCGCATTTGTCGGTACTTCAATTCAGGCATATTCAATGTGTTTTCGAGGGGGGAAAGTATGAAAACATATACCATAAGTAAAGTAGATGACAACAATTCGAAGTATTCAAGAGATATTACAAAGCTTGTAAATTGCTATTTAAAGAAAATATTCCCTTAGGCCGTCCATGGCCGTCCATTAAAATTTAGCCGTCCGAATTCAGAAGTGGCCGTCCATAGGACGGTCGGACGGTCGCCTGGCTAACACCCTGAGGGTAGGTCGGTTTTAACTTTTTTTTAAACTTTTTTTTTAATTTTCCTAACAACCGGACGCCATTTTGTTTAGTCAGTGCTTCCACATCCAAAGATAAATTTCCCTAATATTGCCTCAAAATCTCAAATTTTAATTTTCCACAAACTTTTTCCTCTAAGTGGAAACACTTACAAGCATGATCCAATAAAAAAGTTTAGGGTCGGGATTTCGACGTCCAAAAGCTAGGTAGGGTCGGGAAACCGGAAACCCACATATTTTTTTTTGGCCTAAGTTGTTTTTATCTCCAATCAATAATAATTTCTATCAATCATAAATTTTGTGTTTCTGGTTAGGCTGTTGAGACTTTGAAAGGATTTGAAAAGAAGGATTCAAAAATGCAGTCTACCGCCGCAACGAACTTGTCGTTCATGTATTTCTTGGTAAGTAATGTACTTTAGTCTCTTTGAATTTTATTACACTACTGAGTTATCACAATAAACTTAACATATAGTTTTTCTTATTTCTTCAAGCAAGGAGAACAATCCCAAGCAGAGAAATATGCAGAATTGGCCATCAGCGTAGACAGATATAATCCTCTTGGTGAGTACAGTAAATACCCTTTAAACTAATTTTATTTATACCATTTGTATGAGGCCCTTCGTCATTTTATGCGAGTCTTCAAGTGGTTGTATCATCTACAAAGTTTGCAGTTTGTATATACTTGGGGAAAACCTGCGGTGTTTTGATAGAGTCAAATTGGAAAAACTCTCTCGAGTCAAACTCTTCTCGCGTTAGGGATTGAACCCTATAGCGGCCATAGGGATGAAAGTCGAATACCCCAACTGCTGGGAAACCAACATTTTCTCTTGTATATGTAATTATTTTAGACTATTTCATTTTTAGGTTTAGTAAATCGAGGCAACTGTTACTATAGTCAAGGTGATCTTGAAAAGGCGAAAGAGTATTACCAAGAAGCTCTGAACATAGAAGCCTCGTGCACTGATGCTTTGTATAATATAGGTCAGTCATTCGTCGTGCTGCATTATTGGTTGGGTTGGTGAAACCCACCTGTAGATAAATAAAATGTTATTTACGTGAAGACCGAAGATGTTTCATCTCATTTTCAGGTTTGGTTTATAAGAAAATGGAGAATTACGAGGAGGCCCTAGATTGTTTCTTGAAATTGCACGCAATTCTCAGAAATAATCCTCAAGTTATATGGCAACTGGCAAATATGTATCCTTTCCTTCGTCCATCCATTTGTAACAAACTAATGGAATGGAAACGTGTTGTAACATCGTTCGCTTGCCCACATATAACTGTCAATACATCTGTTCTGCTATGCATGTGTTTCACTATGTAAAACACTTAATTGAAGCCTACATATATATATACCCGCTTCGTTGCCAAAAAGTTGTGTATAAGCTTCTTTTATTCGAGTAAGGGTTGTTTGATATTGAAAACTCTGTATTATTCCTTAACTTGAACTAAAATTACAAAGATACGAAATACTTGATGATGTTGATCAAGCAACTGAATGGTGAGCTTTAAACTAACTATTTTTTTATATAAACTTTATTAAGATGTTTGCCCCAAAAGCCAAGCTTATCTAGGGGGCTCACTTAAAAAAACTATTTTTGCCGGATAGCTCTGGCAGAACTGTTCTCCCTGATCTTAATCTTAACCTGATCTCAATCTAATCTTAAGCTGATCCTAATTCTAACCAGGAGATAACTTCTCTAATCCTCTGAAAATCTTGCAGGTACATGCAGTTGGTATCTCTAGTTCCCACCGATCCAGCAGCTTTGTCAAAACTCGGTGAAATATACGACGGTCTTCAAGATAAATCACAGGCATTTCAGTATCATTACGAAGCGTATAGATATTTCCCGTCTAGTATTGATGTCATATCCTGGCTGGGTGCTTACTATATTGACTCGCAATTCTGTGAGAAAGCAATTCAATATTTTGAGCGCGCTTCAATGATACAGTAAGTATTTGTGTACTAGCGATCAGGGAAAGGAATCCAGACTGGATTACGTTTGGGGATGGGATAGGGGGTTATGGTGAAGATTATGGTTAATAGGGTTTAGGATTAACCTGATACTCGGGGTCTCTGGGTTTAGCGGAGGTAAAGTGCCTGAGTGCAGGTTGGATTAGAATGAGGATTAAGGGTGTGGTTAAGGATAGATTGTTGTCAAGATTAAGGCTAGAGTTGACCAATCACATTTCTGACTGATTTAATTCCTTTCATTATACCAGCTCGTGTTATCGTAAAACAATGACGAATATCAAAAATGCTTGTTTATTGTCCATGTTGTGATTTTAGACCTAACGAAGTGAAATGGCAACTAATGATTGCAAGTTGTTATCGCCGAAGTGGTAAGATTTTTATATTATAGTTTTAAGACCAAATTTGGTTCAAGTGCAGAAGTGCTAGCCTTCTCGCCCAGTCATGACTGGAAAAAGTCTTATTTTTTCTTAGGCAACTATCAGCAAGCATTGGAGACGTACAAGTCAATACACAGACGATTCCCAGAAAATATTGAATGTACGTACACCAAATACATTTGTTCCTTCATATGACAAAAAAGGTATTTCTACTTTAAGTAAATATTATTTTGTGATGTAGGTTTAAAGTTTCTGGTGCGCATCTGTACAGATCTCGGCTTGAAAGATGTTCAGGAATATGCACAAAAATTAATGAAAGCCGAGAAAACAAAAGAATTAAAAGAACAGGTTTGTTGGCTTTCTATGTATGTTCTTTTTTAACATGTCTTGTTATGATTATTGGATTATACTTACTGTAACATCTCATGTTCTGTCTTTATCCAGAGGGTGCTAAGTGGTGGTCGAGCAAGCAGAAGACCTGGGACTTCATCTCGCCAAAATAGTGCTGGCAGCGGTGAGCACTAGAGAACATTTTAGAACTGATAAAGCTATTCAGTGGTAATATAGTTAGTTTAGTTTAGGTTTCTTCCTCTATATGACCTGAAAAGCGTGGAACTGATAAAGCTATTCAGTGTTAATATAGTTAGTTTAGTTTAGGTTTCTTCCTCTATATGACCTGAAAAGCGTGGAACTGATAAAGCTATTCAGTGTTAGTATAGTTAGTTTAGTTTAGGTTTCCTCCTCTAGATGACTTGAAAAGCGTGGAACTGATAAAGCTATCCAGTGTTAATAAAGTTAGTTTAGTTTAGGTTTCCTCCTCCAGCTTAGGTTCCCTCCTCCAGATAACCTGAATTAGACCTCTATGGAGAACAGAGTAGAACTGATAAAGCTATCCAGTGTAAATAAACTTCGTTTAGTTTAGGTTTCTTCCTGTAGTAACAGTGTACCAGATGACCTCAATTAGACCTCCATGGAGAACAGTTTAAAGTCTGATAGAGTTATCTGTGTGTAGCTCTTTAGTGCGTGTTCATAAATACATACTGGTTTTATCACTCTAGATACAAGCCGTGTGAACAGCGGTAGAGAAAAGAGTGCTAAGAACCGTGCAGGAAGTGGTACAAGAGGAACAAAACCACGCTCGACACTCGCTGATGATGTTGATGAACCATTTACTATCTCTGGTCAGAAGAACATAGGTTAGTCGTTAAACGTTGACCTTGCACGGTGTCGCTATACATACACAACAATCACCGAATGTACTACAGCTTGCAAGGACAGTCAGTCCATCTGTCAAAGAAAAACTTTGAAAAATTGAGACTACAAAAACTTTGGATAGAACGTCAACCATAAACCTAAACATGCGAGGTCATAATCTTGCTTGCCTAAAGATCAGGAAAGTCTGTGCACGTACGCAGGTCGTGCAGCACGAAACTCGTGCACACGTTTTTCTCAATCTTACTGTATTTCCTCATAGATGCATCTTACTCGGATCCTCTGGGTGACGCTCCAGCTCGACCAAAGACGGCTGCAAGACGAAACCCGCAACCTGTTGAGGACGAGTTCGGAGACGAGGAGCTTGGTGACGATCTACTTCCTGATTAAATTTCTTCACGATCAACTATAATCTTTGCTTTATTTATTTAAAAACGAATTCAGACACGATAGCGCCAGACAGTTACTTGAACCGCTAATGTGGAAAGTGAATTTGAGCTGGAGGTAACATTGCTTCAATTTATCGAATTCACCCGTGACATCTGTGAATATTGTACAGTATTAAATTATGAAATCGAATGTAAATGTCCTTGTCAAATTACAAATTAGTTATATCAGTTAGAATAAAAACGTTCAACTGACCACAGCCAACGAGTAATCAGCACATAAAATTCTATTCTGTTTTGTTTTGTTTTGTTTTGTTTTGTTATTCATTAACTCCGGCAAATTCCCTTGGGACGTGTTAATGAATCATTTTATGCAGGCATCCGAAATCAGAACATTTTTGCTCTAAGTGCTGCAGTTGGCAAAGCGTGTCGAGAATATGGTGGTGAAATCTAATTTTGAGCAAGACTTTTTTTTCTTTATCGCCGTGAAAACGTCAGGAATGATCCATTAATACACTCAACAACAAGAACACTACAAGAACCGACTATTAGGTAAGCCTATTTCGTTAAAAATCTTCACAAAGCGTCCTAGTTTAGTTACATTATGTACCACCACATGCACCAATATTCATTCTGAATGGTTTGGTCATCTGGTAGAATAAGCCTTTCTTAAACGATTAACAAGTGAAATCATCTGGCTTTCAGCCCGAGTTGATATCTCAAATGTACATGGTCCAGTATATGTAGTATTGTACAATACACTGTCGTGGTTTTTACAGACGATGACAAGTTTCTATGACAAGTTTTTATGTGACAAGTTTTATTTGCCAAGTGCACGTGTGTATATGCAACAAATTTTATATGACAAGTTTTCATAGGACAAGTTTTATTTACTGGTGTGAACGTGCCAACAAGTTTACTTTGACAATTTATTAGTAGCCAGCTGGCCAATCACATCAAATGCTCAGCCATTACTTTGACAAGTTTTCTTTGTTGACCCATACAGACGAACAAAATTTGTACTTTGACAATTTTTTCTATGACAAGTGCACTTGCTCAAAAGCTAGCATGCTAGCTTTTGAACAAGTGCACTTGTCATAGAAAAAATCGTCAAAGTTGCGCGTACAGACGAGCACTATAAAACTTGTCACATAAAAACTTGTCATAGAAAACTTGCTCGTCTGTAACCGGCTTAAGAGAACTGATCTTCGTCTGGGAATAGCGTAGAAAACGCCTTCGCTCGAAACAAGTTAATCCTTTTCAAGGAGTTCTGGCCAAAATCTGGCCGAGTACGCTATCATATATTTATAGTAAATCAATTGTATTGTAGTACAAAATTTACTCAATGGATGTTTCCAGCTATACCTATAGACTAAATTTGATCCAGACAAGGACGAAATCTATCATAGCTTTTAAAAGAACGATTTCTTAAATTATTCAAATTGCCAAATTTGGTTGCAAAATGTTGTAAAATACGGAAAATATAGCCCTGTGAAATTAGCAAATTTTGCGGAAAAATGCACTACTTTTGAGCCGAAAATGGCGTGTGTTTACGCGCGTAATACTATAAAATACTCAAAATTTGCTAAATTCAGAGGGCTATATCTTTCGTATTTTACAACAGTTTGCAAACAAACATTGCAATTTTACTAATTTTAGGACGCTCTTTTGAGCTATAATGATAGATTTCGTCTTTGTCTAGATAAAAAATTAGTCGTTAGCTGGAATCAACCATTACATTAACCAAACTTGAACCTTAGGGCTGGGGTTTCACTGAGCACTATCGTACAACAGTTAACCAGCAGTAACCATTTTTGATCTAGACAAAAATTTCATCACAGCTTGAAAGAGCATCACAAAATTAGTAATATTCCGAAGTTTCGTTGCGAAATGTTGTAAAATGCGGATAATATAGCCATGCGAAGTTTGCCGTTTTTCAGTCATTTTGTATTACGCACGGGAAATAGACAGCCCAATCGGGTGTTGGGGCATCAATTTCCCGTTTGTAATACAAAATGACTGAAAATTGCAAATTTCGCAAGGCTATATTATCCGCATTTTACAACATTTCGCAACGAAACTTTGGAATATTACTAATTTTGTGATGCTCTTTCAAGCTGTGATGAAATTTTTGTCTAAATCAAAATTTAGTCTATAATGCAAATGCCATTCTGCCCATTAGATGTAGTAGTAGTCACAAATAAAATTGAGAGATTTAGTTTAATTATCTTGCTCCTGTATGTATGAACATTTCTCCCTGATGCAGCGAGGCAAAAACACATGCATACACACACATAATCCACCATAATTTAATTCACGTCTTTGAGACTTCACATAAATATTGAACACATATTATTTTTCTACCTTTTTCATAAATACTATTTACAAGTCATATTTTTATCACATCGTATAGATTTGACACTATAGCTATATACCTTAATCAGACTCTCGAAGATAGGGATTTGTACACACAAATATATTAAATAGATGTTAGGACACCTATTTTTTAAGTAGTTGATTGATTTCCATTGAATTTAAAGGCCGGGCAAAACCTTTCCACGCAACATGTTGGATGAGAATTTTAAAACTAAACCTGATTCAACATTTTCAGCATCGCCAAAACCAACATGTTTAAACCAACCCAACAATGCTAAGCCTGTTACACACGAGTTTCTACGACAACTTTTTATACGACAAGTCATTTGCTTCACACGCACGACAAGTTGTAACAAACCTGCAGCAGACTTGTATAGCAATGCTATTCCAACAACTTGTCAACAGGATGTGTTCGCTCTGTTTGTTCCCAGCTTATTGACAAGTTGTCTACGGCTAGTTAACAACTTGCTACAAGGTTGTTGAACTCGACAGGCTTGTTACAAGTTGTTCCAACAACTTGTCATCGTCCTGCAATTCAAAAATTTGTCAACAACAACCTTGCAGCAACTTGATAAAATAACAGCTTTGTTACAACTTGTTGACAAGCTTGCTACAAGCCCGCTGCGAACACATCTTGTTGACAAGTTGAGAGATTTTTACGTGTGATAGTTTTATTTTTGTCAACATGGTGGACTGGTTTCAACGGGCCTTAATAATCCCTTTGTTGTCACAACTAGAAATTTACACTCTTAAATCTGTTTAATATATATTATAAATATCTATATGTACACACTATATAACTCAAGTATGTGATTCAAATAGTTTTTAAAACTCTATTATAAGTCTCTTCATTCAAATCTAGTATCATCTATTTTGAACAAAAACCATAAAATTTCGAAGTCGTTCCAATTTACCATTCAGAATATGTTGGTCGGCTGCTAGTTTTTGCCTCGACATCATGAGCTCCTGTAAGATAAAAATATATCATGAGTTTCAACTCAACTAACTTATTTATACTGGATAGTTCTATCAGTTCTAAACTGTTATATCAATTTCATTGGGGACCGAGCTGGGCCCACCTACACACGTAAAAACGCACAAGTTGTTACAAGTATGCAAACAAGTTGTTACAAATCTGTTCACAAGTTGTGTTCGCACTGCTTGTTCCCAGTTGTTGTAACAAGTTTGGAACAAGCTGTTAACAACTTGTAACAAGCTTGATGGGATTATCAGACTTGTACAAGGTTGTTCTAACAAGTCTGATACAGTCATGATATAACAAGAATGTTACAAGTTTGACGACACAAGGTTGTAACAATATTGCTATATCATGATTGTATCGGACTTGTTGGAACAACCTTGCAACAAGTCTGATAATATCAACGTTGTTACAATTTGTTAACAGATTGTTCCAAACTTGTTGACAACTTGGGACGAGCACTGCGAACACAACTTGTTGACAGCTTGTTGGCAGACTTGCTACAAGATGTGAGATTTTTACGCGTGTTTTTCACTTTCGTAGAAAAATAGATTTATATTATACTGTTGATAGCGGTGAGACCAGTGGTTTGTTTTGGCGAGTCAGCCCGCCTCAAAAGTCTCGTGTAAGCACGGGATGAAATCAGCTCGGCAAAGCCAGCTAGCTCGGGTATCCGGGCTGGCTCGCCTCCATACCAGAGTACCTTTAGAAAACCTAAGTGTTTGGCGGAGTCAATCTGGAAGCACTCTTCTCGCGTGACTGTGACTGGGGAGAAATAATTAAACAATTGCAGATCGCAGGGGGAAAAAGTTGTGAAATTAAAACTCCGACGTACCGAATATGTGGAGTTCAGCCTTTCACTTTCCTCACTTAATGTTGAATTTTCAAGTCTTAATTTTCCCTCTTTTTCTTTTGAAATGTTTAGTTCATTTTCTTGTTCTGAAATAAGATGACATAAAAAATGGAATGAAAGGCGGAACAATACATTATTCAGTAAACAGGTAATCTATTGTATATAATCATGTCATAATATATGAACTGCGATAAGCTGTAGTAGTGTTGAGTGGTTTTAATATAGTTCGGTAGTTTAGACACAAACCACGGCAGCTTGTTGAGTCTGCACTAGACCACCATGTTTGAGATTCGAATATTAAACCCACCTTGATGATATGCCAAATACGACTGGATTACTCTACTCGTCCCAGGCCACTTTAGAGGTTCCTCCGTTAGCATCTAAAATTGTAAATCTATTAGATAACGTATATACACACATACTTGAACGGTCAGTGTTTGATAAGGATGCATCTGAGTGTGCATCCACACCGGACAAGCTGAAAAGTTTGGCTGACCACGGTGGGAATCAAACCCGCGACCTTTGGGATACTAGTCTTAGAATACATTGATGTCGAAGAAACTAGAATCAGTTCCGAAATATCACCAACTCGAACCGACTTGACTTCGTAGCTCAGTTGGTAGATCATTGAACTAGTATTCCAAAGGTCGCGGGTTCGATTCCCACCGCGGTTAGGCAAACTTTTCAGCTTGCCTGGTGTGAATGCACACTCAGGGAAACACAACTAACATCATACTGACAAAGGTTCAAATTTTTCATGTAGGAAAAAGAAATAGTCCTGACGAAATGAGGAATTACTGTAAAGGTAAAGTAAATCTACCGGGTTGACCACATAGTGCTCAGTAAAACCCAAGTACTGTACTCCTTAGAATCGCAAAATATAAAACTCACCCAACTGGGACGTGTTTCCGCGCCATTTCCCCGGTATACGCCAATATTTCCGGGAACCATCGCTGGATAAATTTTACTTCCGGTACGAGATGACGTGCTCGACTCAGTCGCCATGCGAGGGTCTTTCACCGTAGGGTCTTGATGTACCGATAGCAAGCCCGAATGATGGTAATACGGCGG